CATCAAATCTCACAGACTGGACAGTGCTATTCATCAGGCATGGTGTCAGATTCCTCGCATCACCTTTCAGCATCTTGTGGAGTCAGTGCCAAGAAGAATCACTGCAGTATTGAAGGCAAAAGGTGGCCCAACGAAATACTGATGGGGTGGTCATAATAATCTGGCCACTCAGTGTATATCTAAAACTAAAATTTTTAAAATATATACACATGTCAATATGTATGTGTGTATATGCATTTATACACATACTTTGAATAATTACATGGATGTATATACATGTGTGTACATATACATGCAAATATCCTATGTAATAAAAGTAATATGCGAATTGACCCTAACAGCAGAACAACTGGGAACGACTGGTCACTGTGATGTGCACTGACTACCAGGAGGCAGATGCTCAATGCCAGAGCTACTTCCTAGTGGTCAGTACACTCCCACAGGGTGAGCTCCGCTCAGCCACAAGCAGGGCTGATGGCTGTGAGCATAGTGGCAGTGGCGGAAGCCTCTACCACCTCCTCCACAGTGCTAAGGATGTCCAACTGCAACTTAGGGAGAGCGGGCCTACGCAGGCAGGGCTCCCAGGCTGCCAGAGGAATGTTTGCCAGCTTAGGCCCAATCCCCTGGGGAGCAGGCCTCAGCTGGCAGGTGGACATCCCCTGAGAGCTCCAGGCTGCCAGAGGATGCAGGCTAGGCTGAAGGACCCCCCCAGCCCCACCCCCTACACACAAAGTGCATGAATTTTTGTGCACTGGGCCTCTAGTGTTTTAGATAATAGTCTTTTTTTAGAGACAAAGATTAGTCTAAGGACAATGGCAGTACAAAGTTTAGTCAGAGGCTTTAATGTATGTGCTCAGGGAAAACAAAAACAGCAAACTCGTAGGTAGTAGAAAATAATTTTGGAGACCTGAGGTTTGGTACAATGAATTATTTTCGATGAAAGTAAGCAATAAAATTTTAAGGTTGCTGGCTGATCCTTTGCATGTGGAAGTACCAAGCAATCATATTCTTTTTCTATTAATTTTATAGAGAGGAGGAGGAGAGAGAAACATCAATTTGTTATTCCACTTATTGATGTATTCATTGGTTGATTCTTGTATATGTCCTCAGTGTGGACGAAACTTGCAACCTTGGAATATCGGGACTAATCTCTATCCAACTGAGCTAGTGGGCCAGGGCAGTCATAATGTTCTTTAATAAATCCACACCCAGATCAATACATAACTAAACATTTTCTATGATCCATTTTTATAGTAAGTCAGGATTTTACTTATAATTGAGGTTTTTCTGATAGAAAAAAATTTTGTCGTTTTGAAGACTCAGATTGCCTTTACCAATTTCAAAAGGAGCTGTTATAACAAATATTGAAAATGAATTACATAATGTCCAAATTACAACTTCAAAATTTGGAAATAAATGTGTTAGATTCTTGAATGGCTAACAGAACTTAATGCAGTCATTCATTTTCAGTGTCTTCCTCTTTTACACAGCAAATTAATTTTGTCATTTCTAAACAGAACTTTATCCATTTTTTCTAATTCTCTAGTGACTTTAATTTTGCTTGATAAAACACTATCAATGGTATTTTTAGGACATAGGTAGTGTTTATTTTTTCCACTGCTTTTTTTATTTTTTATTTTAGAGAGGGGAAAAGAGAGAGAAACATCAATAATGATAGAGAATAATTGATTGGCTTTCTTCTCCCCTCAGTGGGGATTGAGCACACAACCCAGATATGTGCCCCAACTAGAAATCAAACTGACCTGTGACCTCCTGGTTCATAGGTTGAGGCTCAACCACTAAGTCATTTCAGTCAGGCTCCATTGCTTTTTAATTGAAAAACACTTAAGACTTTTCACCCAGTACATGAGGTTAATGAAGTATGTCCAGAGTACTTGCTAAAAAATATTAAGAATAAAGGATATCCAGCCCTGGCCAATGGTTCTCAGGTGGAGTGTCATCCCATACACCAAAAGGATGCAGGTTCTATTCCAAGTCAGGGCTCATACCTAGGTGTTGTGGGTTTGATCTCCAGCCTCTAGCCAAGGTGCCGACAGGAGGCAACTGAGCAATGTCTCTGTCCCTTCTTTAAACAGTAAAAGCATATCCTCCAGCCCTGGCCAATGTGACTCTGTTGGTTGCGTGTCATGCAGTGCAACAGTGGGGTTGCCTATTTGATTTCTGGTCTGGTTGGGAAATATGACCAGTTTGGGGGTTCAGTGTGTCGTATGGGTGGGTACAAAGGCAACTGATTGATGTTTCATTCTCACATCAATGTTTCTCTGCCCCCGCCCGTTTTTCCTTCCCTTCTCTAAAAATCAATTTAAATGTTTTAAAGGAACAAAACATTTTGTCCAGTGAGGATAAAATAACGGATTTTCAACCTAGGCTAGGAATACTTACCAAAATGTATATCTATATCTATAAAAGACTAAGCGACTGCCCATCTGTCCAACCAGTAGCTGTAACACACACTGACCACCAGGAGGCAGGCGCTCAACGCAGGAGCTGCCAGGCCACAGCAACTTTGCAGAGTGCCCTCTCACACCCTGGGACCCCTCAGGGGATGTGGGAGAGCCAGTTTCAGCTCCATCCCCAAAAGCCAGGCCGAGGGACCCCACCTGCTGGAGGGACCCTGCTCACTCCGCAGACACCCTTTGAGCCATGGAGCCACCCCAGGTGTGGCTGGCTGGGGAGGGACTGCGGGAGGTTGCCTCCAGGGCATGCCTAGCCAGTCTCACCCAATCGGCCCCACCAGCAACCATCTAATTAATTTCCTTTCCATATGCACAAATCCGTGCACCGGAGCACTAGTATAGTCATAACCATAATGGTAGTGGTAGGTTTCTTGAATACTTGATCATAGTTTGTAATTGAGGTAATTGTGTGATCACTTCATCAAATGCAGTAACAGCTCTGTCACCCTAATTTTCTATGAATTCTCTTAATGGTATTTTGTACATAAAATACTTTTCTGTACAATGGTTAATTTTAATCTAAGAAGGAAAAATAAAAGGGAAAAAAATCACAGACTGTTGTTACAGATTGCCTTAAAATATTTGAAGAATGGGAGTTGTGCTGAAAAATTATTTTTAATACCACAGTTGATCATATTTTTCTTTTTTTTTTTAAAATATATTTTATTGATTTTTTTACAGGGAGGAAGGGAGAGGAATAGAGAGTTAGAAACATCAATGAGAGAGAAACATCGAACAGCTGCCTCCTGCACACACCCTACTGGGGATGTGCCCGCAACCAAGGTACATGCCCTTGACCGGAATCGAACCTGGGACCCTTCAGTCCACAGGCCGACGCTCTATCCACTGAGCCAAACTGGTTAGGGCAATCATATTTTTCATCAGCTATGTAACAAGTGTTTATTTTTGTGGGGCAAATTGCATATATGTAAATATTATTACAGTTGACTATTGATGAATAATTATTGACTTCTTAATTTCCTTTGTTTAAAGTCAGCAGTGATGTGGATATACATGTGCGTAACGCATTGTTTTTTTAAACTTCAGAACATGAAGATTATGACCCACAGACTGTAAAGCTTGGAAGCAGATATAGTCATGTTCAAGAAGTCCAAGAACGGCTTAACTTCCTTAGGTTGGTTTTAAGCAATTTGTAGTGCTATTCTCTTTTAAGGCACACATTTTAGGAATGCAGTGTAATACTCCGCATAGCCAAGCCTTTCTCTTTTTTCCTTTTTCTTTTAATAGCTAAGTCTTTTAGATAACCATTCCACCCTGCAGCCAAATATTTTACCAAATAAATACTGTTGCCAAAAGTTAATTTACATTTTCTGTTTGTTGATTATTAAGTATTGGTTAACATTTAACTTTCTTAAAAAATTCAAATGGAGGTATTTGTGTTATAGTTTGTGTAAAAAAGTTTATTATACATTTTTCAAAGTTTGAACTATAGGACACAAAAACAGTCAGCTAGGAAACTGCATGTTTGTTAATGCTGTCGTGAGCAGTAAGGATTAAGATGGTTGGTGCTCTCTGGTGCTCTGTTTATTCTAGCAATGGCTGATAAAGGCATAGGTAATAACATCACTTTACATTTGGATAAGGAAAAATTACCTACCTTTTAATTTAAGCCAAAGCTAAAGATAGTCCTAGGCTGAATTTGTTCAGTAATGCTTGTCTTTTGATAACAATATATGTGTGTGTATTTATGGATATATAACTTAAAGAATAATTTTTTTTTTAGGAATGCAAGTAACACATAATAAAGCAAGCGTATTTGAAACATATGCTATGTAATCTTCTGGGTTGACCTGATCATAAAATTTTATGACTGGAATTTTTCTCATGTTTTTTAATAGCCTTGGAAAAAAGATTAGCCTTTCTGTGTTGAGACTCTCTTCCTTGTTATAAATGCATATATATTATGTCACTTAGTTTTGTTGGAAAAGACCAGTGATTTAGAACTTATCTACTCTATTGAAGTTTAGAATGAAAAGACCTTTTATAGTTCCTGCTCAGTAAATACTTAGTACTGCAATTTATTCTTTAAAGGGTAACTAAAGAGTTAATACTTTATATTTAGCTTTGTACTTATTAATCATTTTAATCCTCATGGTAATACTGGATTTCTGGACTCATCCAGTATGTCTCACTTTAAAGTCTCTGTTCTTCCTATGACAGCAGTGATTTTTCAGACTTATCATAGAGTCTTAGTTTGAAAATTACTGATTTTAGGCTTCTGGACCACATATTGCTCATTTATAAATAAAGGCAGGAAAGATTAAATGAAAGTAAGAGCTAGAAAAAAAGCTTCATACCTACAGTTATGGAGACATTAGAAATCTAAATTTGGATCTAAATTATGGGGATATTAGAATACTTTAAGACACAAAAGAAGAAACCCACTGACATTAAATAAGTATGCTATACTCTGTTGGCCATGAAGCCACCATCATTTTGATAACAGAATTAAATGCATAGTCATTTTTTTACATTATTATTACCTTGTTTTGTTTAACTCTTATTCATGGAAATTGCAGGCAATGGTAGAAGAAACTAGAATCTTACTGAGGAGACTGCTTGAAGCAGAATCTTCAAAACTTCATAATATTATTTTAATGAATAAACTAATAGTGACACAACTAAAAAGCTCTAGAGGACATTTTAAAATAAGCATACTAAAAATGACTAACAGAAATAAGCTTAAATTATGTATGTATTGTGGCCACCAGGTTTTGAGTATAATATTTTCAGAAACTTAAAAATTTTAAACAGCTTTATTTTGTAAAAACATTCAGTTATCTCTGAAAGTCATTTTTAGTATATTGCCTCATTTTTCAATATATAAGCATATATAGGCAGGGAAACCATATATAAGCAGGGAATTAATCAGTATCTGGTTTCAAAGACTGACGTTCTTTAGAACAAGGAAGAAGCTTTAATATTTATGTCAAGTCACCTGACTTTATAGTTTTCCCATAAATACATGCTTGTTCACAAATGAACTACCTGATTATTTTTTACTTAGTTATATGGATAAGAAGTTCTTTTGAAAGAATAACTTTTTTACTGTAATTGTGATAAAAGTATTATTTCAGACATATAAAAATAAATTGTCTTTGAGAATAAAATGATATAACCTAATTACTGACTTCTTAAATTTTTCAAGATTTTTACTGAAGGATGGCCAGCTGTGGCTCGGTGCTCCTCAGGCAAAACAAATATGGAAATGCTTAGCAGAGAATGCAGTTTACCTTTGTGATCGTGAAGCCTGCTTTAAATGGTATTCCAAGTTAATGGGGGATGAACCAGACTTAGATCCGGATATTAGTAAGGACTTCTTTGAAAATAATGTGCTTCAACTTGATCCTTCCCTTTTAACTGAAAATGGAATGAAATGTTTTGAACAATTCTTCAAAGCTGTTAATTGCCAAGAAGGGAAACTAGTAGTAAAAAGAAGAGCCTATATGATGGAAGATTTGGAACTTACAGGATTAGACTACCTTTGGAGGGTAAGTCAGAAGTATGAGCTCTTGTTCTATTCACTTTCTTTTCCCTCCCTAAACCTTTTCCAGAGTCAGTCCTAAAGCGTCTTTAAAGCCATTCGATTATTAACCTAGTTTGAAAACATTGATTTAAATAAATAATTGATAAAGATATGCAAAAATTCCTGGTGTTATCAGGATTGCTCTTTCTGTTATATAAATTTTTTAATTTATTTGAGTTAACTCATTGAAAACACCACAGCTTGGCTACCAAACTGCAGAGTTAAATAATACTGTTTAAAGAATTTTTTTTTATCATTTTCATTATTCTGAAAACTTATGTTTTATGTCCATTAATTCTTTATTTTAAAATGTATTAGACTTTGTTACTTGATTTCAGTGTCAAATTCAACTTAGCCTTAAATTCTTGAATACTCTTTAAAATAATTGAGCATATTTTTAAAATTTAAGTGTCAAATTAAATATTTCTTCACTCTTACTTACACTATAATTTTGGATCTAGGTAGTGATTCAGAGTAATGATGACATTGCCAACAGAGCTATAGCTCTCCTTAAGGAGATATATACAAACCTTGGCCCCAGGTTACAGGTCAATCAGGTAAGCATTGAAGTGCATAAGAAGTTGCACTACAATTAGTTTGAAAGTCATCTTGTGTTTTAGTAAACTCTTTTTAAACTTAGTATTAATGTAAAAACTACGGATTAATTTAACTCTTGTCTAAAATACTTAACTATTTAATCCACAGTTGACCCTTACATAATGCTAATTTGATGAATGATGCCACTTGCCTTTAGGTGGTTAGGATTTTTTAAAATATAATTTATTATATAGGGACATTATAATTATACTAGAGGTCCGGTGCATGAAGATTCGTGCATGGGGAGGTTGGGAGAGGTAGGGGGTGGGGGGTTAAGAGAGGCCTTCAGTCCAACTTGCACCCTCTCCAATCCGGAACCCCTCAGGGAATGTCCGACTTCCAGTTTGTACCCACACTTTTAACAGATGACAGCTCCATTGTTGTTTCTTTCTTTTCATGCTGCAACCGATTGGAATTTCTAGGTATTCTAAGTGTGTTGTATATCTCTAGTTAGCAGTGAAAGGAACCAATGGCAGATTTGGACCCTCGGACAGGGAATCTTGCTCACTCCTTGCATGTCTCCCCACCCTACTTTCCACCTTCATGGACAGTGGGAGAATCAATGTTTTTCCCCATTAACTCGGAAAAGCACGTCCTGTCACC